ATATATATATATATATATAATAGAATATTACTTAGCCATAAAAAATGAAATCAAGCTATTTGTGACAACACAGATGGACCTGGAGGGTGTAACACCAAATGAAATAAATCAGAAAAAGATAAATACCATATGACTTCACTCACATGTGGAATTTAAGAAACAAAACAAAGAATAAAGAAAAAAAGAAACAAACCAAAAAATAAACCCTTTACGATAGAAAACAAACTGATGGTTACCAGAGGGGTGGTTGGTGAGGGAATGAGTGAAATTGGTGAAAGAGATTTAATATTGTGATGAGCACTGAGTAATGTATAGAGTTGTTGAATCACTATATTGTACACCTGAAACTAATATAACACTGGATGTTAATTAGAAAATAATAACAAAAGAAATAGTCTGTGTTCCTCCACATGTTTTTTATAAGGTGAACAAATTTGCTGACAGATTAGATATGTTGTGAGACAAAGAGTCAAGGATAATTCCAAGTATTTGACTTTAACCACCTGGAAGAATGAAGTTGCTAATAAATGAGATGGAAAACATTTTAGGTGGATCAGGTTGTGGAGAATAAAAATCGAACTCAATTTTGTAGCTATTGGGTTTAGTATACCTGTTGGGCAACAAAGTGGAGCTGTTGGGTACATCATTGCATATACAAATCTGGATTTCAGGGGAAAACTCTGGGCCTGAGATATAAATCTGGGAGTCAATATCACTCTGATGTTTTTTAGGACCATGAAATCAACAGGGAAGTGAATGAGCTAGAGGAAAAAGAAGAAAACCAAGAAATGAACCCTGGGACACATCAACAATGAGGGAAAATTGAGAAAAGAAGGAACCAGCAAAAATGAGGCAGAAGGAAGGAGGAAAACTGCAAGACAGAAGTATTCTGTCAGGAAAATGAAGAAGAACACATACAAAATAAAAGAAAGATCAGAGGGTCAGATAGGGTGATAGTTGACTAATGAATTGAGCAATATAGGATTATGTATGACTTGACGAGAACACTTTTGGTGGAAGACTAACAACAAGGGTGGCATTGCATCTTATTTAAATGACACTTTGTGGATTTTAAAATGTATATATCACAATTGAAGCAAGCAAAGGCAGATACGAAAGAGTAACTCTACTTATAGAAAGAAAAGTAGGAGAAGCCAAATGAAGTGTGTGCATTTTTGTTAACTGTACTTCTAGTGACTGTACAGTTGGAAATTCTATTTTTTAATCAATCTAATAAAATTGCAGAATTTGGGGGTGCCTACATGGCTCAGTCAGGTAAACACCAGACTCTTGGTTTTGTCTCATGTCATGATCTCAGGGTCCTGAGGTGAGCCTCGCCTTGGGTTCTGTGCTCAGTGTGTCCCACTCCCTCTGCTCCTCCCCATTGCTCTCTCTCTTCCTCTCTCATAAATAAATAAAATATATTTTTTAATGCAGAAATTTGTTTTCCTTTTTTTTAAAAGCTATGACATTAGCTCACAGGACACTTCATTGCTGTTTGCGGGGAAGAGCAGATGTCACTAACAGTATCTCGGAAGCTAGACTGATACAGTGGGGAAAAGCACCTTTCTCTTCTAGTTTTGAGAAACTTCCTCTTGGTACCCAGGAGGAGGGATTCCTTGATTTTGACATACGTCAGCCACTTTGGCACAAATGTCTTAGTGTGTAGATAAACTAAAATTCATTTTTTATATCCTCTTCTCCCTCTGTCTTCAACATAGACTTGACTCCCTTAAGCTCAGAGACCTGTTGGACCTTGACCCCCCCAAAAATGTTCCCAGTGTATCAGGCAATCTGGACTTTGCAGTGTCACCATGGAGATGACATCCCTCAAAAGAGCTCCTTTTGTAGCTTATGGGATTTTCAGATTGATAGTTCTGACATTTTCATTTCATTTCCTGAAAGTCAGGGTCAGCTTGTGAAAAGTTGTTGAGCAATATGCCAAACATTAACTGTCAAACCTCACTCTAAACTTTCCTTGTTCAGAGCATCACCTGAAGACCTCATTGGATTTTATAGTAGCTTTCTGGTTTTGATAGCCCATTGAAGAAGGGAGTTTGAAAGTTGTTGTATACTGTCAATGACTGTCTGCTTATGTCCTGCCTGAAATACCACAATTGTTTATGAAAAATATCTTCAATAAAGCTGGAAAGAGTTCGGCTTTAAAAAAATTTTAAAAATAAAAATGAAAGTAAATGCAGTAACTCTATGGTGTTAGAAGTCAGGAAAACTGACAATTTAGGGCAATTGTTTCTCAAAGGGAACATAAAGAAAGCCTCTGGGGTGCAGGTATTATTGTGTCCTGGATGCTATTTTCATAAGCGTATTCAATTTGTGAAAAATAATCAAGCTATACACATATAATAAGAGCATTTTTCTGTTTTAAGAGAAAAAAAAGGGGGGATGTGCATAAGAACTGGAGAATGAAATACAGAAAGTTCTTTAGAAAAACTGGCTGTGAATGGAAGCAAAGAAATGAGGTGGTTGCTAGTAGAGGAAACAAAGTCCAGATTTTTTTGTTGTTTTCTTTCCTTTCCTTTCTGTTTGTGAGAGAGAGAGATTGTTTCTATGCAATCAGACAACACGGTTAAGAGAAAAACCGATCATGTAGGAAAGAGAGAAAAGAATTTGGTTGGAATGATGTCCCTGTGTAGCTTGAGCGGATGGGACCTAACACACAAGAGGAGAGGAGGTTTCAGATAGGAGTATAGAGAGTCCATTGACAGGACTAAGTGAGAAGACAGTTTGTGGATGAAACATGTGTACAGATTTTTCTTTAAAATACTTTGATTTGCGTGGTTCCTGTGTGGCACAGTTGGTTAAGCACTAGACTTGTTTCCGGCTCGGGTCATGATCTCAGGGTCGTGAGACTGAGCCCCATATCAGGCTCTGTACTCAGTGCAGAGTCTGCTTAAGTTTCTCTCCTTCTGACCCTCCCCCTCCACTCTTCCCTCTCTCTCTTTCTCTCTCTCTCTCTCTCTCATATAAATATATCTTTAAAATAAGTAATTAATTTTAAAAAATAAAATACTTTGATTTTCCCAGTGAAATCGGAAGCAATGTCAACAATAGGGAATGAGACTAGATAGGTAATGATAAAGATGTGAACAGATAGAGAAAAATAAGTAATAGTCAGCAGAAACAGTGTTAGAGGAATAGAAAATAGAGGCATAGGAATAGAAAATAGAAATAAACTATGATTGCCAGGCAATATTTAAGTCTCACTTAAGGTTTTGTCATTAATTTAAAGCAAATTTAATCAGCATAGTAGTTTGTCTTTCTCCTACAATTCAGCTGCAGAGATCCAGGTATTGAGTTGGTGATGAGTCAAACAAATTACGTGCTGGCTTTGCTACTACAGTGCAAAGAAATAAGTGAAGTCAGAAGACAGGGTATGTGCATAGTAGTATTTGCATAGTAGTATTTGTAATGATTAAGCTGTGGAAGTAAGAAGAGGGCAGTGAAAAAGTATTCATCAATATATTGGAGGTCTAGTAAACTGAAAAACTTTTTGGAAACAGGGCATTAATTTATGTTCTAATTATATATTACATATGGAAATCATTATTGTTTTGTCAGCCGGTCTTAGTTATCTTCATTCACTATTCCTATTTGCATGTAAACTCAATCTCTTCTTCCTAAAAATATCTCTTAGAAATTTTTTAAAAATGAGAGTCTTTTAGTAGTGAATGGTTTTTTTTCTGAAAATATTGATTTTTTTTTAAATCTTGGTTTTCTGGAAATGTCTCGATTTTTTGGAAAAATCTTGGTTTTCTGAAAATATCTTTGATTTTTCTGAAAATATCTTCAAAGGTGTTTTTGCTGGAAATCGAGGCTGATGGTTATTTTCTCTCAGCTCTTTGAAGGTATATTCTTCTGTATTCTAGCTTCCAGAGTTGCTGCTGATAGATCATCCTTCATTCTAATTGCTATTCTTCTGTAGGTGAGTTCTCTTTTCACTCTGGGATTTTTTTTATAATCTTCCCACTTTCTTTGGTGTTCTTTAAATTTACTAGCACTTGTGTAAGTGTGGATTCATCTTTATTTATTTTGGGTTAGATTTTCTGGTCATACTGAGTATGAAGGTGATTGTTCTTCATATATATCATCTGGAGATAAGTTTTGTCTAAGTATGATGGACTGTTTTAAAAGGGGGGAAGAGGAGAGCACCTGGGTAGCTCAGTTGATTAAGTGTCCAATTCTTGGTTTCTGCTCAGATCATGGTCTCATGGTTGTGGGATTGAGCCCTACGTCAGACTCTGCTCAGCACCGAGTCTGCTTTAGATTCTCTCTCCCTCTCCCTCTCACTCACTCTCTCTCTCTCTCTCTCTGTGCCAAATAAATAAATGAAATCTTTAAAATAAATAAAAATTTGAAAAAGAGGGGGGAGAGGGAAGACTCCATAAAGAACCTGTAGCAGCCTACCTGTATGTGTGAGACTCAAAAGATTTTCAACCTAACAACTCACATCTATTTTCATGCTTGACAAAATATCTACACATAGTATGTTTGTGTACACAGTATGTAAACTACCATGAAAAAATCCTGGTATGATTGTGAATCATGGAATGTGAGATTTCATTGTATCACATTCATCTTTCTGAGTCCCTGTTCTGCTTCAAGCTTCAGGGTCAGGCAACTTTGGTCCTTTTCCTTGAAATATTCTTCTAGATTGATTCCATCCAGACAGAATCTACTATCTCTGATTAAGGTAAATGAGCTCTAGCTAAAATACTTTATTAATTAGCATTCTAGCATTGACATCCTGAGCCTCTCTTTCAATTAGTGAAATGGAAACATTTGCCCCTAGTTGAAAGAAGTTCAGTCACCAGCAAATAGGTAAAGTGAATTGGAGACTGGATAGAAAAGGTAAAAAGTACACTGTACTGTTTGAAAGAATTTCTTGGAATATTCATGTATAAATCAGGTATATCATTAAGCACACACAGATTCCTACTGAGTGTTTTTACAGTAGACTGAAGGTGAGGAAGTTTACTTACACATGGTTCATGATCTGTCTTATTTTAGGTCATCACCAGCTTCCCAAAGAAAGGGCAAGATAATTTTCTAGCTATTCTTCCTGGATCCACATTACCAAAGAATTGTTCAGGATGAGAGATGGTGTTTGTTTCTGTGAATTCAAGGAGACTTCTCATGTTCATCTGGCAAGATTCCTCTCTCAAAGCCTCCTCCAACACCCACCCTTCCCTAGTGCATACCTCACCTGAGCCCTTTGTACCACTGCTCACTCTTATATAAAACTTATTATATTCAAGGACACAAACTTTTTAAAATTGACTGAGTTTGACATACATATTTTACTCCATTTGTTGGAGCTATGCTGAGATGAACAAAGAAATGTATAAAACATATCCACTGCCATGCCTAAGCTTCTCATATACTTTCTGGTTTTGCTAATGAAATGTCTGACAAAGTATGATAGAGTTGTTAGAAACAATCCTTTGGGAATCAGAAAGACCTATATAGGAATACAGATGTAGTCACTTACTGCCTAATGTTTCATCATCTGTAAAATGGGGCAGTCACCTAAGGTAAAATTACCATAAGAAAATGAAGGTTAAGCCTCAGCACCCCTCAGAAGGACCAATGGACTCCTTTTGAGGCTCTGGGGAGGGCCTTTACAATGTGGTCATAAAGTCTTTTATTTCTGTAAAATTTTATAAAAGGAAGATCTTCTTGTCTTTCTCTTAAGAAGCTCCTTTCCCCAAATTTTATGAGCTTCCTGTCTCTCCCACAAAACTTGGGCCTTTCATGATGTTAATAATACACGTACATATTTATGAAGAGAATTAAGTAGGATAACACTTCTGCTCTTCTTTATTTTTCTCCCTTTACCAACTAAATCCTCTTTATCATCCATATTTTAGTTTACTATCATTCCCTCAGAAGTTTTCCACACCCCTTCTCCACCCCAGGTCAAGTATTGGGGTCAATGCTTTCTAAGCTTTCTGCACTTCTACCTGTTAATATCAAATTTAATTAAATAATTATTTCTCTAGTTGGTTGCTGTCACATATATGTCCTCTGCTAGGGTATAATCTCTATGGAAGAGAGGTTTGAACCTATCATGTTTATTGCCATGTTTCCTATGCTTATAAGTGAATTAATAAATTAGTTAATTCATTCATCATTAATGGATTAATCAATGAATTAATCAGATACCCAGTAAATTCAATTAACTAATATTTTCTTTAATGCTATCCACTTCACTAATATACAAGTAAAACTATAAGTTTTATGAAGATAATAACTAAAATGTATTTTAATTGAGATATTTTATTTAATATATAACAAAATCTTAGTGGCCTCATATACAAGGGTAGTTATGGTGATTAAAATGCTTAAATGTATGCAATTAATGCTGTATTTTATTTTAATTGATGGCTGGATTTCCTTTAAGTTTTATTTTTAGTTGATTTTATTTTAATTAATAGTTATGGATTTTTTTAAAGTACTACAAGTAGATAATTACCACACAATTTATCTTAAGTAAAAAAGGCCAAAATTCAATAAATAGACCATCAACTCAACTGTTAATGTGTAGCTACTGAAATTAGCAGTGAGTGTAAAAAAAATAATCCTATTCAGGTTCTAGCTTAGACACCTACTGATGGTAGGATTTGAGGAAGGTTGCTTAACTTTTCTCACTTTCCTCATAAAATCATGACAATACTTACTTTGCTCTGTTAGAAAAGTAAGTCAATGAATAAAACTTAAGTAATAATAAAATAATAAAACTTAAGTAAGTCAATGAGTAAAATCTTGGCAATTTTTGGCAAAATTTGGCAAACAATATTTGGCAAAGAGAAAGTGTTATTAAGTGTTAAATATTTTTTTAAACTATAAACAAATTTTAACTAAAAGTTCCAATCACACTAAGCTATTGGGCAATAACAAGCAGATAATGCTTTAGATTTGTTCAGAGAACATATTCTGGAAGTTTGTACTAATTATTTTAAGCACATTTTGGTTTGAGTTTCTATAGTACCTATTTTGCCTGACTCTGATAGTACACAAGAAGATAAATGTCATAACAAAATACAACTTTGTTAGTCGCTATCTTAATGTGGAAAAAAATTAAAGAAATAATGATACTGATTAGGAACACATGCAATAGTAATCATCAGGGCAGACGCTATTCCTTACATGTTCTTTGAAAAGAGTACAGCCTTTTAGCTGAACTTGATATGTTCAGTATCAAGGCTGAACATTTTTTCCAGCTATGATTGGAAAACACTGTACTAGACATACCAGAATAAGAAAATGCTGCTGAACATACTTCAATAAACTTAGGGGCAATGTGGAATGTCATATCCTGAGAAAGCAGAAAACTTCTCATGAGAATGTTTAAAATGTCACTCGGGTTCAGTTTAGATCAGAGTGCAGGTGGCTCTACAAAGCCTTTGCTGGAGGCTTTGTGTTTATACAGTTGTTGCTTCCAGGATGGTATTGATTGGCTAGGCAACTAATAAAACAAGCAGCCCTGCTTTCATCTATGTGCATTTGGGGGATTTTGAAAGATAGAAAAGTGGTTTTAATTAGGACGTCCTTTCACTTATTTTACTTTTTAATTCTTTTTTTTTTCTTTCTTGACCATTCTAACCCACATCCTTCTCCTATTTGAGAATTTCTCTCCCTGCGCATGATTCCAAAGCCACAGATGCTTTGGAAGGCAAATGATCCTAAGGAACATTCTTCTTGGATCCTTAAAACAAAAACTCTTAACATTAAAAAATCAACAAGCTTTAATGTCTCTATTTCATCAGTTTCTATTCAGAGTTACTCACTTGTAACCTAAGGCAATGGGGATCAAAGTTTCTCAGTGAAAAATAAACTAAAATTTATAATAGAACTGATGAAAAAGATATAAAATGTTCTACAATTTACATGGCAGCTTCAATACATGAAAGTAAGGCGTTCACTAATCACTATATATGTGTGTATATACACCTATATATATGTATACATGCATATATGACCCATTTTTAAATTTAGGTATATTTGTATTTTTAAAATATGTTCCTCTATACTCTTTATATTCTCTTAATTTATTTTTCATGTTTTTTTCTCACACATTTTTGGTATTGCTTTCTATCTCTACTTTCTATATCTCCTTTTAAACTCTTCAAAAATTCATCTTTGGTTTTATAATGAACATCCAAGGAAAACTAAACATGATATTCAAAATTTAATTCAAAGACTGTAAATAGAATTTGTCAGATAGCCACACAGTATAAGCTGTGGGGCGGGGGGGGGGGGGGGTGTTGATTGTTTTATTTTTTTCCCCAAGAAAACTTTAAAAAATAGAACAAGGTGGGAAGTACTAAAAACTGACCACATAAATTTGCATATAAACCAGAATTAAAGTGTTTCCAAAGATGAACATAAAATGTAAAAGTACTAGTGTGATTCAAATGGTAATAAGCTAAGAAAACGAATTATCATATAATTACTATACCTTTTAGCTCAAATAAGACAATTCTTCTCTCATTTATAATTCATTTAAAGTATTCCATGACTCTAAAGAATAAGAAAAAACTATTTTGATAGAGCTTCAACCATGTGTCGTCTTTTTTTAAGAGAAGGGGGAGCCTCATAGGGAGAGGGAGAGAGAATCGTGAGCAGGCTCCACACGCAGTGCAGAGCCTGACCCAGAGCTCAATCCCATGACCCTGAGATCATGACTTGAGCCGAAATCAAGAGTGGGACACTTAACTGAGTCACCCAGGAACCTCAACCTTTGATTATGTTTTTAAATACAAAATTCTGAGAATTCTTCTCACCCTGTGGCACCTGGGTCTGTAGCTGCAGCGTCACTTGGGAACTGGTCAGAAGTGCAAATTCTCAGGCACTACCCTAGACCTACTACATCAGAAAATCTGAGGGTGAGACCCAGAAATATGTGTTTTATAATAGCTTTCCAGATGATTCTGATGAACTCCTGCTTGAAAAGCACTAATAAACTGATTAATAATATTTACTCAGGAGACAGACTGACAGTTCAAAGCTCCAATTTGCTACCAATTAGCTCAGTGATTTTTGTCAAATTATTCTAATATATGTTCTTCTGTTTCCCTCTTGTAAAATGGGGCCAAAGTAGTAGTATCTCATAGTGTTGTACTAAAGATTAAATGAATTAATACATGGAGAGCCCCCAGGCCATTTTTGGATACAGAGATAACACTGAGTAAGTGTTATCAAATGTTTCCATATTTTTGAAGCTAAGTTTGACTGAAAGTAAGGGACTTGGTCAAGATCATACAGCTAGTGTCACATAAGGAATAAAATACCAATTTAGTCATACATAGTGTTTATTTCATAGCTTGGAAATGGTAAAAAGCACCACATTTTCTTTAAGTGACCAAATAGTAAACTAACCATTTACAAATACAGTATCTTTACAAAATATGTGTCTTAGTCTGCATCTTCATTTTGCATTCTTAATTGTATGTACTGAAAAGGCTATCAGCAAACTTTCAACAAAATAGTTAAGACATAGTAAACTTTTCACCTCTTTTTTCAACGTAGGGATAACCATAAATTAGCATTATTTCATAATCAGTATAAATAGCATGTGTCAAAACTTATGGAAAGGTTTGTGGAAGAAAGATCATAAGAACAACATCTACTCTAATAACAAATAGAAACCTGTATCTTCTATGTTACATCAACAGGAAGAGAGTTAAGAGGTCCTAACAGAATATGTTATAAAGTCTGGGGAAAGGAAGCAAGGAAACAATTAAAATAAGCATACATTACTATAATACTACTGCCTTAACAATTAAGTTCAAACAGTACCAGAGTCACACACAAGAGGAAGTGTTGCAGGAGCTCCTTGGTCTGTGGACAGATTTTCTCCTTGACAACAAAGGCTTCTTCTGCCTTGTGACTCCAGTATCTTGAAAGGCTTTGTTGTAATCTTCACCCTGTTGGAAAAAGTGGAAAAGAACGTGGAGTGTAGATTACCCACTTCCTAAAAGCTTTGGCCTAAAAATGGCACACCATCCATCCTCTCAGACTTCCTCCAGCAGAGCTCAGTCATCTGGTCACACCTGACTGCAGGGAGACCGGGGTGTACAGCTGTGTACTCAACCACAACCAGCCACACTACATTCATTTGCCTGATGCCAGATGTACTACCACATAGATGATACAGAAATGATAAACTTAGACATGACTATTTGAATTTTTTGTTCCTCATTTGCAGAAGTAAATCAGAATATCTGCTTAAAATTCTCCATCCAAGAAAATAAGGAGCAAACCCTCTCGTACATTACAGGATGACCCTAAGGATTAAATGAGAATGCACATTACTTTATTTTAGCCTACTATCTACATAATAAGAGGTCAACACACTTCATACGTGAACATACCTAGAAAAAAGGCCTGGAGGTCGGGTAAGGAAAGGGAAGGAAAGCAAATAGTGTCTGAGTTCAAGAACTGAAAGCAAAAAACAAGGTTGGAGATTTTCTTATCAGAATTTTTAGATCATCATTTTAATTATGAGCTCTCTTAAGCTTTTCTTTCTTAAGTTACTCTATGCCACTTAGCTTATTAGCTCATAATTAGCTCATAATTTCTCTTATTAGAGAAAATTCCATTTCAACTTAGTGCAGTTTTAATTTCTCTAGTCTAGAAGTGATATATGGCTTTAGATCCCATGAGTTCATGACCAAAAGACTTGTAACTCAAAGAGTAGTTGTTTCTTTATTTCCAAATGGGAATGAACTTAGGATGCACTGTCCCAAATATCAGGACTGGTCCAACTTACTTTCATAAGAAAGCTGTCTTAAAAACCTGTTGTGCTTTATGTAATCCAGTCACTTACTCTCCTTCATAAGTATTTTTATTAAAGAGCAGAATCTTCCATTAAAGGACTTTTCTGAATAGACTTTGGAGTTGAATTTTAACTTTTTTTTTGATTAAAAGAGAATAAATGGAATATTCAGTCATCATACTAAGAATATGCCACTCAGCCCGTTCCAGTCACCGAACATCTCAGTAACAGAGAATACATAAAACCCCCGCCTACGGTCAATGTTAACAGTTATGACCAGGTACCTTCATTCTGATTCAGGGTCAGATGCCTTGACTTTTGTACCAGAAATCCTATTAAGAGTCAGTATTAAATTATTAAAATATTCCCACCAAGCCAACTTAATAGGGACTACCATAATCAAAAGTTAATAGAAAAAAAAAAACAACAACAACAACATTTAAAAGAATGTTCTGACCTGGCTAGAATGTCTAAATTCATAAAACAGATGAGAAGAAACTTGAAAATATTTTAAAATCTTAGTAGGAGAGACCCTTGTTTAGAGAATCTTGAGGGTTTGTTTGTTTTCTCTATTCATCTTGAATTCTGCCAGAAAATCAAGAAAACATTCTCAAGAGAAAAACAAGAAATATGTAATATTTGAACTAAAATAGCTAGTTCAGAATCCATGACTTCCTTTTAGTCTGATAGCTCAGGACATTTCTACACAGACCTCCCTCCCTAGAGCATGCAGGAAATGAGAAGATCACAGAGTAAGCCATGATGGGAAGCTTTACTGAATGAAGACCAATGAAGGTCAGTGGAAGGGAAGGCAAATTCTGCACAAGCATTAGACTAAATACACAGCCTCCCCTCAATTCTCACCTTCTCTGTTGGGTTGACAGACATGTCCGTATCAACATGATTATGTCCAAAGTTATGCTACCCCATGTGACCTCAAAGTGGTCAAAGAAACAGAACCTCTGAGCAGTTACATGTAGGGCAAAATGAGGAAGCCTAAGTTTGATTTTGAATTCTCTAAGGACCCCCTGCCACACACACACACACACACACACACACACACACACACACACACGACATTACTATCCTCTGCTGACATTTGCTCAACCTGACACTAAGTCAGCCTTCCTGGTAACTGAACTCTTTTAGGGCATTGGGCCAGCATTTTGCAGAATTATAATAATGAATATAAACATAACTCAGATAGTAGTTGTCTAATAAATGTGAGTTCCTATCTCTTCTCAGAAATATCTGTACTATTAAGAAGAATCTTAAAATCTGATCTTTAAATCTGACAATTCTAAGAAATAAAATACTCATTCCAAAAATCAGATTTCATGACAGGTGGTTGGAGACAGATTTGGGGGCAGCCTCCATCTCCACAAGTCAGACCACATAACTTGTTACCTGGTTATGTACAAAGATTTTATCTTAAATCAGTGCTTTGTGAATTACTATAGGGAAGGACCAGGGGAATCCCCCCTCCCCGTCCCCACCAGAAAAATACTTTTGTCAGAACCTAAATCATGTACTTGCCTGTCCTGGAACTCTCAATTTCTGTCCTTACTGCCTCACAAAAGACAAAAAATTCAAGGATGGGGAACTGCCAGCACACTGTGTGAGATTAGTGTCATTTTAAACCCTCATAGATGTATCCGCTTCAAGGACACTTCATGAGGGAATTAGTAGTGCCTGAACTTTTAATTATTCTTAATTGTATTAATTGTCAGCAGAAAGTAAATGTAGTGTCTGTGCTATTTTAAGAAAAAGGGCTTGCAATTCTATAAACAATAAAGTGGAGTACATGAGCAGACTGGGAAGAAACTCACTTTTAAAAAGTCTTAGATGTCGCTTCTAATCAGAAGTGACCCCACTCATGGCTGTTTCCAGGCAGCTAACTCAATAGCCTGCCAATCCAGGAGATTTTCTTGACCAGATACAGCTATAGCTTCCAGAGTTCAAAAATCAATAACCATTTTCTAAAGGGCAAGTAGGTTGGGAATGGGAGGTATTTATACATTTTGATGCAAATAGCCTTAAAATATAAAGGTTTTTATGTAATAACAAGAACTAACATATTCGAGTACTACATATTATGTACCAGGATTCTTCTATGCATGTCCTCTCTGCCTTAACACAACTTTGTTAGTGTTATTGTTACTTTACTGATATAGAAATATAAGACCACCAGCAATGGAATTCTATTTCTATTCTCATTATATTTCTTCAGAAACACACAGAGACCGACATAACTCTTTATTCTTCACTCCCATGCCTAGGACAGAAATAGGCTGCTCAGCCCTTTGTCTCTTCATTAGAAAGCATGCAGTGACTATAATAACACCATAAAGTAAAACAAACAAACAAACAAAAAAAAAAAAACACCATAAAGTACTTGTTTTCCAGCCTCTGGCCAAAATGAGAGTAAGGAGAAGAAGATAAAAAAAAAAAAGTTAAGAAATGAAGACTAATTCATACCACCTAATGGGAATTCCTTAACATTTAATAACAACAAATTTCAGACCCAGATTTCAGAGGGTAAATATTTACTTTAGTTTTTCTATCCATTATGCACTGATCCACAAATACATGTCTTCATGTAAGGGTGGGAATTTTGATTTTACTCAGTGGTCTCTTTACCCTGGGAAAATACAAGGTGCCAGGATCTGTTTCTGAGTAGTTACTTGAAAACAGTCAATAAAACAGTCAAAACAAACACTAGTTTTCCATAGTTGTCAAATGGCTCCCATCAGTATGAAAGTACATTTATTCTATTTTGGATTTGTTCAGCTTAGGTCTACTTGGTTGAAGTGTATCCATGCTGTTCTGCTTACTGTATGAAGCCGATCCACCTGTACACTAAACACCTTAAACTGGACATTCCGATATCCTTATAAAAATCAGAATCCACAGTACTAAACTATCAGAATAAAGAATACTTTCATAGTAGATCAGCAGTTGCTTGGGGATGGGAGTTGGGGAGGGGTGTGAGGGAAGGGTGACAAAGGGATAATACAAGAAAACTTTATCAGGTGATGGGTATGTTCACTGTCTTGATTTTGCTGATAGTTTCTTCAGTGTGTGTGTGTCTGTACACCAGTGTAAGTCAAAGCATCAAATTGTGCACGTTAAATATGTGCGATTTATTATATATGAATTATGCCTCAATGAGACTATGGAAGGAAAGAAACAAAGAGAAAGAAACAGAGGGAAAGAGAAACTTTCCATCATTTTGTAAAGCGCAGTCAGGTCGGAATTAGATTAGAAACGCAAATAGTAAGATGCCAAACTGCACGCTCACTGTGGTTTGTAACTTAGAGATGACCACTTATGTGGTAAAGAAACAAGCTGAGCAGATAGTGGAAGTAAACTTTTTGCTCTTCCCTTAAATAAAGTAAAATAGAAATCTGAATTAACGAGCCCTAGCTTTTATAATGAATTGGAGTGAAACTGATGATTCGTTCAAGTTCTGCTCACCAAGTTCATTAACTTAATGTAATACACGATGAAAAGGACTTTACCTACCATGATTATAATTAAAATGTAAATGTTCAGGATATCCATTTCACACTCAGTTCTAAGTATCTAAAAACATGTCTCATGGTACAATGCAGTATCTTGAAAAGTTAGGCAAAATAATTCTCACTCGTTTCATGATATTACTTGTGTCTTGCTTCCATTTGGAGGCTACTATCTGTACTGATCATAAGTAGGTAAAAATAAACCCATAATTTGGGTATTCTGTAGGCTTTGATGTAACTAGGTTTTTTGCCTCACTCACATCTTATTTTCTTCCAAATACTTTCATCCATCTCTTCTGCTAAATAGGACACCAACAGGCAGGAAGACAAGAAGTAAATGAAAAGAAAACTGAATTTTGACAAAAATGCAAGCATTATCCAAAAAGCAAAGACCAAACCCCCAAATTTCAAAATGTCTTATTTAATTCATAACTGGATACCACATCTGTTAAAATACTGTTGTTGTTGTTTTTTACTTTCATCAGCACATTTCCATCTCTTCGGCATCTTTGTTTATCTGCAAGAACAAGTAAATGGAACTGGTAATCCAAAGTTTGCTTGGCCACGCCAAGTCCAAGTCCTTGGACTATCATGTTCTCTTCTTTCCACTCTGTGGATCTTGGTGACATACATTGTCTCCTACTTTAGGAGAATTACAGAGGCAGAACTTTAGTAAAATATATACTGATATGACTCCAAATTGTTAAATTTTCTGATAAAATGTTTTAAAACACATTAAATCCAAAGGCTACTTATTTGGGTTACTAACAACTTGTGCTTTTCTCTGCCAGCTGGGGTTGTTAAAGTGAATTAGAAATAGGTTCTGCACCCATTCATCCTTTAGTTTTTGAAGATTATATATACTTCCATATCGCCTGGCAAATAACACTGCCATGGTTGCTGAGGGCTTCCCAGAAAACTCAGCAGCCAAGGCTCTGGGACACCTTGGAATTCGACAGGATCCAATAGCTAAGATATTAATGGTCAGCATAGATAACCTCCAGACTTCAGCACTTGGCCAGCATGTTTGTTTGTTTTTAAAGATTTATTTATTTTAGAGAGCATGAGCAGGGGTGGGGCAAAGGGCGAGGCACCCCACATCTGTACTAGTCATTAAACATGTTTACTATCAACCCTCATCATGATGTCAATTTATTTTTAAAACTGGGAGCAGGCTGCCTAGGTGGCTCAGTCAGTTAAGTGGCTGACTTTTGATTTCTGATCAGGTCATGATCTCAGGTCCTGGGATAGAGACCCCTAACAGACTCCATGCTTGAGATTCTCTCTCCCCCTCTTCCTCTGCCCCTTTCCACCCCACACACGTGCATAGAAGTGCTCTCTCTATTTAAAAAAAAAAAAAAAATATGTGTTCTGGGAGCTGAGAGAATGAGGTGATTAACTCCAAACCTGGCAATTTAAGAAAGCCAAAAGAAAGCAGTTGAAATGTGATTTGAGTCTGTAAGTGACCAAAATAAACCTTTCTTCTCCTAGATATCTAGTCTTTTCTCTGATGTTTTTAATTGTCCCTATATTAGGAAATAAAGCTGTTCATTTATTTGCTTATGTTTGTTTGTTTGTAAGAAAGTTGAGCAGCGGCCTCTGGGTTTCAGCTCAGATCATAGTCTTGGGGTCTTGGAATAGAGCTCCAGTCAGGCTCAGGGCTCAGTGGGGAGTCGGCTTGTCCTTCTCCCTCCCACTCTGCTCTACGTCCCACCCACCCACCTCACATGTATGTGCAAGCATGCCTCTCTCGCTCTTTCAAATAAATAAATAAAATCTTAAAAAAAAAAAAAAAGAAAGAAAGTAAAATGAAAGACCTCTTCTGAAGACCATGTGCAGGTTTGACTTTGAAGTCTTAAACCAGCAATTATAGTTGTACAGGAACCATTTTGTTTATTTCCTGGTCTCGGTCTCTTCTAGCCAGTTGAGATTAGAGCCAGGAACTTCCATGTACATGGATATTATTAAATGGCTTTTGAAAAAATTTGCAAATAAAATGATTATTAAAGGCAATGTTATAAACTCAAGCCCTCTGAACTCAGAGTATATTTGATATGTTTATGTTACTGATTACTGTATATTTGATTTATTTATGCTACTGTACTTACTACATTTAGGAATGTTAATAAAAAAGACAAGTTTTTACCCAACATTTTCATTAGACCTATATCTTAACCCAGATTTTGTTCCCATTGTTACTTTTCACTTATGCCTTGGAATATGAAAACAAAAAGTAATAATTTCAGAGAAAAAATCAGGAAACACAAATTGTAGTCATAGTATTTTAAAAATTCTGTCGAATAGGGAAGTCTAGTTAAAAATAATAAGTCATATTTTTACACAATATTAAAATGAAAAAAACTTCAATGATAGTTGCTTAAAATGTCTACAATTATATGGGATTCATAAGTCCACCCCCTACTGTTTTCCATTCAAATGAAGGGAAAGCACATGGGTAAATTACCACCTGCAGTGTATGATAGCGGACATGGTAAGCAGCTGTCAGTGGAGCCCTATAATTATGCAAGTATCTTTTCACTATTATACAATTAGAAAGACCTATCTTTCTTCCACAAGGTAATGTTTTTGTTGGTGTCAAGAGCACTGAACTCTCTGTACTTGTTCAATCGCTTACATCTGAATTGAATATAACCAATAAATCCCTGGGAACTTATTTTTTATTATTATTATTTTGGGGGCCCTTTGACAAATTTCTATCATAATAAGAAAGCTTATTTTATTGTAGTTAACTTTCATTAAATAAAAAATTTGTCAACTTTTTCTACCTTTTTTTCCAGTAATCAGTTCTGTCATAGCTTATCAAGGTGGCAGGTAGGGAAGAAAAATCCTTTGGCAAAGTCTTTCAATATCATAACAAATCAGAGGACAGACATAAAAACTAAAGCACAGCTATTCAATTATTTTTCATGTTACCTTTATGATCTAAAAAATTAGATTTTAAAAATCTAGAGTTTAATAAACCATTAAAATCTGAAATATTTCAAGATTACTGAGGAATAGAAATTTAATTGAAACTTAGAATATTAAAAAAATTATGATTTACCATAAATAAAAGTGCAACACCTTCTAAAAGTTTATGACTATCAGAAGCACTTGACTAAAAAGAAAAATGTTTCACTTGATTTTGAGCTCATCAGTAATAGTCGCACACAGTGACTGAACCATGAATGTATGAGTCTCTCTTAGAAGAGAAGCAGAATTAGGTGGTTGGTTGATGATACAATGCTGTAACACTTGCATGCATACTTATTTTTATCTATGTATCACTAGTTTGGAGCTGAAAAATATATAGTTCAGAATTCCTAATCTCACTAATTATACGCTAGCATTTTAAATAAAGACCAAATAGAAGGTCACATAGTAAACTAAGAGTCACTTCTAAATGCTGCCAACCAGGTTACTGAGGATTTGAATTTAGTATATCATTAGAAAAGATAAATTTCAAAGTAAGTTCAGTCTCACATGCTAATAAAACTTACATTTACCACTTGATAGAATCAGCTGACAAGACTGATGTTCTTAACTTCTCCCTAGCTCTACTCCTTGAATTCTTAAGTCAGTGAGGGTCACATTCACTGCAATGTGGCAGTGAATGTGACATTATGTGACATAATGTGACATAGATATGACATTATCCATTCCTGCAGCCACTGCCTAAGCGCTAACTTTTAAATATCTTCTGCCTCTTACCCATAAGGAATTTTTGTTTTTAAAGTAGCAGAAAACCTGGAGCACCTGGGTGATTCGGTCAGTTAAGCACCTGACGTTTGGTTTCAGCTCAGGTCATGATCTCGGGATCTTGAGATTAAGCCTGTGTTGGGCTCACGCTCAGAGTAGAATCTGCTTGAGATTCTCTCTCTCCCTCTCTTTCTGCCTCCGACCCCGCTCCCACATTCCCAATCTCTCTCTCAAATTTTTTTTTTTTTTTAAGTAGCAGAAAATCCAAACAGGCTTGAGCCCAAAGTACTCTACTGCCCAAAGTAACTAAGAAGTCCTGAGGTAGATCTACTTTTAATAGGAATCCATCTCTCTCTCTAATTCTTGGCTCTACGCTCCAGTGTTGGCTTCATGTCGAGCACGACAGTTTTTTCAAGGTGGTAATATGGCCTCAACGAGTTCTAGACTTTGAAGCAACAGTTCCAAGTTCATAAAAAGAAAACTAGTCTTTCCTAGAAGTCTGAGCTAAAATCCTGTAAAATCACTCTCTTTGGTTGAAATTAGGCCACGTAACCATCCCCAAAGAGATAGGACACAGTGTCTTCTCATTGGCCAGGACTAAATCATTTGCCTAGCTCCAAAGCTGTGAAGGAATCAAAAATGTCAGAACTATGGTACTTGTATGGCTCAGCTGGAAGAGCATGTAAATCTTGGTCTCTGGGGTGGTGAGTATGAGCCCCACTTGGGTGTAGAGATTAGTAAAAAATAACTAAACTGAAAAAAATGTGTCCAATGCATGGACCCACAATGAAAAGTAGATGATTTTTTCTGGAGCAGCACTGTCTGATAGGAATATAATGTAAACTACATATATAATTGTAAATCTTCTAGTAGCCACATTAAAAAAATAAAAAGAAATAGATTAAGTCAGTATATTAATTATAAGATACAATATACTATAATCCAATATATCCAAAACATTATTCCACCATCTTATCAAAATTTAAAAATTATTAAAATATTTTCCATTCTTTTTTTAATTTAGAGTACATTTTCAAAATTTAGTGCATATTTTACACTTCCAACATAATTCAATTATGAATTCATTTCCTCCCTCTCACTAACCTCAGTTTCAGTATTTAATGACCTATGCAGCTAGTGACCACCATATTGGGCACCACATCTCTGAAGTCTGGAGGGCACTTGAAGTCCAGTTATCAAAAGAAAAATGAATGCTATTCGTTGGCAAAACAACAGATATATACTATAACTTCCTTAATTGGCTTTCTGGTTTTTGGTCTATCCACATTCTGGTATTATCAGTAAGCAGACCAACAAGATGACAAAAATTGAAACAAGCAGACTATAATTGAAATCTGTTTATAGTCAGTCCCAACTTATTTTTTTCTAAACCTAACCTGCTACATTGTTTCTATGTCTAAGTTTCCCAGCAGAGAGTTTTCATTACCTACTGTCACATATTGCTTAGTCATCCCTGCAGCAGTGGGTGTCGTTTGCAAGGGGTTAAATCTTCTAGGGAACATTTGGAAACATATGGGGGCATTTTTAGTGGTTTCGGTGACTAGGGTTTTCTATCATGGTGTTTATGGGCCAGGGCCGAAGATGCTAAATGTTCTGCAGTGGGTTGAAAAATCCTGCAGAAGAATACTATTCTAATCAATAGTTACGGATAGTGGTCCCAAGTAAGAAACACTCATTGGTGTACTGGTGACAGGCTCTTTGCCCGGCAGGCATGTGTTGAATTTGCTGAAATACTCCCACAATGGCTATATTCAAGATATGAGCACGTGATTTTTAAAAAAAAGTCATAAAGATTTCATTGAATATGGGTTCTAATGCCCAGAAATATGCAAAAGTAAATGTTATCATAGTGACCTTTACCAGAATAACTAAAAATTCAGTATATACAACATATTCATAATGATGGTTACACTTACCTGATGTAGCCAACTGAGACTGGGAAAGCAAATTAAAAGTTAACATTAGACTATTATTTAATGTTTTAAGTTTTTATAAAGAGATAAAGATAATATAGTAATGCAATACTTCTATGTGTAGATATATACACACACATATATATGCATATATATAATTTTAATAAAACTTTAAAAAAACACTGACAACTGTTACACAGTTTTGGATGGAGACAGAAATGATCTTTGAAGTTGTCTTATCTTCAGTTTCCTTCTCTCTGCTTCATGAAACATGAAAGAGATGCTTCCTATTGAGAAATATATTTCTTCCATCTAAAACTTTCAGTTTTAAGCTTAAATATTTAACCTACTAAATCCTGGTTTATTCTATATCCTATCTGAAACTTAAATCCATGTAACGCTTGAAAAGATAAAATGCCCAAATGCTATACATTTAAAGAACTCCTTAATTAACTTCATAAAATTAATAATTTTAAATATTGGGCGCCTGGGTGGCTCAGTGGGTTAAGCTTCTGCCTTCAGCTCAGGTCATGATCCCAGGGTCCTGGGATTGAGCCCGGCATCGGGCTCTCTGCTCAGCGGGGAGCCTGCTTCCCCCTCTCTCTCTCTGCCTGCCTCTCTGCCTACTTGTGATCTCTGTCTGTCAAATAAATAAATAAAATCTTTAAAATAGTAATAATAATAATTTTAAATATTTGTGTTTTAACAATTTTCACCCTAGTTGTCTAAAGATTTCAAACTTCTGCAATACTAAGAACATAGTTTCATGAATTTTTTAAAAGGATTTTATTTATTTATTTGAGAGAGAGAGAGAACACAAGCAGAAATAAGGGCAGAGGGAGAGGGAGAAACAGACTCCTTGCTGAGCAAGTAGCAGATTCAGAGATCAGTCCCAGAGTCCTGGAATCATGACCTGAGTCGAAGGCAGACACTTCACCAACTGAATCACCCAGGCGTCCCCATAGTTCCACAATTTTTTTAAAAGATTTTATTTATTTATTTGACAGAGAGAGATCACAAGTAGGCAGAGAGGCAGGCAGAGAGACAAGGGGAAGAAAGTTACCTTCCGAGCAGGGAGCCTGATGCGGAGCTTGATCCCAAGACCCCGAGATCGTGACCTGAGTGGAAGGCAGATGCTTAATGGACTGAACCACCCAGGCCCCCCTAGTTCCACAGTTTTTAAACCTAAACCTTAACTAAAGAAAAGTTTCATTTATGATAATATATAATGAAACAGATTGATTTAGGAGCCCTTGAAAATGCCAACATTTCTCAATTTAATAAGGAAGCAAGCAGTTTGTTTTAAAGCTATTCTATCTGGATTAAGAATAAGTTGGTTTGGATTTTTACAGCAATTTAGAAATGTATGCATTTACTGAAATAGTGATAAACTGGTATAGTATTTTCTTTTAGGAAATTAGGTCTCCCAAGGATATATAATGAGGCTCATATTCATTTCCAATACTGTCAAAATAAAACAAATTTGGATTTAGAGAAGTATTCTTATCAAGAGGAAAATCCAGGATTTTTACTATGAAATAAAATACTTGCCATCAGGGAGCAAACCAAAAACATGACATCATAATGCCCCCTATTGTTTAAAATGTGATATGCATTAGAAATAGTTCCCAAATTATATACAAATAAATGGGACATTTTGGTAAGTTGTCATGACATTCAAAACAACTACAAACACGGGGTGAGGAAAGTCATCTGGACTCTTAAAAGAACAGTTCCAAACAGCTATTTAAGATTCATAACTTGAATAATCTGCCAACAGAAAGGGGACTTCAAAGAGCTTCAGAAGATACATATTAAAATCCCATTGTGTGAGAATAACAGTATACTTATTTTGTCTATTTTAAATTAATAAGTTTAAATATTTGTCATTTCATTGTAATAATGACCCTAACAGACACCATACTTACCTCCAAATACTCATGCATCATATAAAAATAGCCAAAAACTCAGGCTAACCCAGAGGAAAGAGAAAGATGTGATAGATGGAGTGGCCACATGATGGCAACATTTCACCATATAAATGCAAATAAGCAAGCATTTGACAGTGGAAATCCCCTTGATTTAAAGAAAGTGCATAAAATAGGGAGTAAATAAAGGCTCACTTCCTCTATAGCACTTTATTACCTTTATAGTACTGCTTTACTATCTCTGTAGTAAAGGAAATATTATCTAAAATCCTACCTACTGTCTCTATTTAAGTATGGAGATATTAATTTTATTTTGTGGCTGAGTGTGTCAATTCCCACATGTAATCTGGTTTACATGCAACGCATACTTTATTTCACTTTTACAATGTTCTATTTCAGCATGTGAAGGATTTGTTAATTTTCTCCTTCTTGGAACAGTTACATATTATAGAAGATTATTTTAGAGCAGACCTATCTACTTAATCTATTCCAAATCTATAACCCTGCTCAACTACTCCCTAAAACCCCTCCCTGATGGGAGAATCCTAGAAAAGCCTTCTGGAGTCCACAGCTGTTCCTGGCATCCAAACTGCAAATAGCCCTAGGGTTGGAAGGAATCTGATTATGCTTTAGTGGAAACACCTATAGAGGGGAAATAAGACATTCCAGTTCTCCTGACAGCTGGCCCCAGAGTGGTTTTTAAGAGAATCTTCAATTGTCTATGATATTATTGATAATTAAATAATTAGGTCCACAAAACTTAAAAGAACCAAGAGCTAATATTTGATTAAATACTTTGATAAAGATAAAAGCAAGTGATATACTTTTTTACTAAGGAGGTACCCTCAAGCCCCATACTTAACTTTTATATGCAAAGGAAGTTAAACAACCCATATTCTGAAGTGCCCTAACATATGTACTAGTTGTTCATGCACTGATCTGTGAGATGATAATGGATGGTAACTTTCCTGTTCATTAACATATAAACCAAATCAAAGATACAATACTCTTGGAAATTTATTAACATTCTTGTATTCTGTGCTCAGAGAGTAGAAACACAGTCCTTCCACAGATGGGTACCCTGAGTCATTAGAAAGAGGCAAAAAAAAAGAGCATTTTTTTTTTTTTTAAATTAACATTTCTATTAGAAGAGCAAACCAACCACCACATTCCCAAAACTGATCAATAGCAGCATTTTGGACCTTAAAAACATATATATTTTATCACTTAAACATGAAGTGGAAACAATGAATGTAAAAAATAAGTACAATTAAGACTAAATGACAATTTTTATAACAAGTTAATAATGTTAAAGAGGGTAGTATTGCATTTTAAGGAAATCATTAGATATGAAATAGTTATGATTTACCACATATCAAGTAATTTAGGCTACCGTGAACATCACAGTGAAATATACATATATAAATATATATTTGTAATATATACACACTCATATAGTTAAAATTATAAAACAAAGATAAAAGAAGACACGCGGAATTATTTATAAGGATTTTTGTGCTCTGAGCCTATTTATGCTCATGATCCCAAAATCTATAATCCCAGAAAAACTGATGGAACAAATATGGTACAGTGATTCAAACATTATAATAGAGGACCAATTATATATTTGTGAAATAATACTATATTTTCTAGTTACCTCTGATGTTGCAAACTATTCCTAAAAAGAAACTTATTTCATGAAGAAAATTTGCATTATTAGTAATTTTCTTTTAATTCATAGGCAAACCAAGAATTTTAGGATGCCTGGCTAGCATTGTTCCATACATCAGTGATCTGTGGAAATATCAATAACCCTAATCTACATGCAGGATAAATAAGCTGTAAAGAAACTAAGGTTAAGTTTTGTATGATGGTTTGTTGTAGGAAAAAGGTAGGAAAAGGATCATAAAAAATGTGTACAAGGAATTTTGTTTATTTGAGAGTGAGAAGCTCACACATATAAACATTGGTACTTATTGGTCATTATTTACTAGTATTACATATGTACTTTGAAATCATTTTAATTATACAAATTATAATTTATATTTTATATTATATATTCTAAAAATAAAATTTTCTCCTAAATGTTATTTCATAAAATTGCTATGAAATCTCAAAATCCATAATTTTTGTCTCTGTAACACATGCTTCTAGCCACTAGGTGGCTCAATTATGAAAGTTCCCCTTTAATTTTTAATTATGAATATTTATAGTTCTTTCCAATGTATTATATGAAAGTGATGAAAAGCAGAAAGGAAGAAGCAAGAAAACAATATTAGCTAAGTGTTCTATGTCAGCTATTTCATATTAGAGAACCAGACTTTGACCCTAATTAGAGATCCCAAAAGCCAATTTATAATGGCCCAAACAAAAAGGATGTATACCGGCCTACATGGCGAGCAGCCCAGGGTTGAATAATCTGTCT